GCCAAGCTCAAAATGCTTCTTGGGCTCTGATATTGATCTTGGCATGCATGAATGTTGTAGGTTGCACTGGGTTGTCTTAGTTATGATGTCATAAGGATATGAGTTTGTGCTTAAGTTCCTTTCGATTATGATTTCTTTGTCAGTACACGTATATTTACATAATAACATTAAGAAATCTTTATGAATTGCCTGAAATAGATTTGATTCCTTGTTTTTTGTTTATAGTATGATGAAATTCATGCCAAGTCTTATGAACTTGGTGATATGTTTAGGTCAAGAATATGGCAACTTGTATCTTTGGAGCATTCCACTTTTAAATACAGTGGTTTTCTCCCCCTCTCTATAGTTTTTTAGTTGAGTAATACTTATGCAGAACTAACGTGTGCAGGTGAAGCTTTGAAAAAGCTGGAGGATCAAAGGGGCATAATTATACAGTTTGTAATAGGAAGAAGGTCTTTATATCGACAAGCTGAAAGTTAAAAAAGATATGTTGTATGCTGCATTTGATTGATTGTATATGACCTGCAGTGCAAACCGGGGAGACAGTTTGGACAGGGATATTTACAATGAGAATAGGCTGACCAATGACTTCATTATTCTTGTATGTTCAACTTTCGGTTATAGTAGTGTTATGCTTTATTAATTGATTTGTTGAAGAAATAAACTATTGTGGAAGTATAATCGTTTCTTTTAAGCTTAAGTTTTTGAATGTAAAATTGTGGAGAGAACAGAATGATCATGTGGAGGCTTCGGGGGAGCAAACAAGAAAGACAAAATTGTTCTTCATTCACGCTGTGGACCACTGGGATGCTGAGTTCTTTGTTAAGGTCAATGATGATCTTTATGTCAATATTGGTATGTATTCCATATTGTAGATTAGCAAATGAACTTGATAGTTTGTTGGCTTGGGTGTTACTCTAGTTGAGATTATTACCATGAAGTGGTCTTAATATGAAGTTGGGGGAAAACCTATTTACTATGGAAATGTACACATCACATGGAAAGTGGAAACATTAAGGAATTTCATTTGTTTGCCCTTTTTTCCCTGTTTGCATAAGTGGTCTTTTGTTGTATGCACAGAATTGACTAAGTAATACATACATATTATATTGGAGAATCTACTCGATGTTAGAGTATTTCAATTTTTGTTGATGCCTCTATCATGGAACAAAAGTAATACTGCAATGCACTCTACAAGTGCGAGTGTCGTTTCATTAATTCATGTAAAAAAGTATTTTTACTAGTTCATCCTGTCAGAACTTTATAGCGTTTGAATGTGTTATGATACTGTGCTTTATATGTGACGTAGAGAGATGTTGAATTATTTATTTTATTTCATCAAAGGACATGGATGTTGCCAGAGTTGCTCTAGTGCTTCAGCCATTCCAAGCATGACTATTTAAATGAGACTGAAAGAAGACACCTCTAATATTAACCCGGCCCTTTGTAGAATTTTTCACGCATCAATGCTCTAAGAAAAGTACTTATAATTTTGTTAGTAGAAAGCAAATGCAAAAGTGATGTTAGTGCACACAATAACAACTTAAAACCATGCTAAACAATCACCAAAACTACACAGATTTAGCAATTCCCAGTCCATACTTATCATTGTGGATTATCCTTTTGTTGTACAGACGTCCTGGGAGCAGTTCTTACTACTCATTTGGATAAGCCTCGTGTTTATATTGGGTGTATGAAAGCAGGCGAAGTTTTCTCTCAGCAGTGAGTATACGATTAAGAACAATGAGAAGTTTGACATTAGACTACACTGTCATTAATAATCTTTACGTCACCTAATATCTGCAGGACGGACAAATGGTATGAACCAGACTGGTGGAAATTTGGGGATGGGAAATCGTGAGTATCCCCACATTTGATTTTACCTTTTTCTCATATAGCTATAGACAAATGCTACAGTGCCACTCGGAGGATGGATATGTAATCACTTTATGTTTCCCTGATATTATTGTAGTAATAAGTGGATCAGATAGTTCAATTTTTTGTTATGTCATGAAGGAAACTGTATGCCATATATGTGTTCCTCATTGTTTAGATACTAAGGTCCTTGTACACTTCCTTCTACTAACCTCTAAAATTTAACTCTTTTCAATGAATAGATACTTCCGACATGCTTCTGGCGAGATATATGCCATATCACAGAGCTTGGCTCATTTCATTTCGATTAACAGGTTAAATTATTATTATTATTATAATCTTCTCTCATTTTCAATTGAGCAGCGAACAAAAACTTAGAAGTGACTACGTTGGCTTTCTCTGTCTTGGTTCTACAGATCTATTCTTCGTTCATATGCCCATGATGATGTGAGTACTGGATCATGGTTCATTGGGCTTGATGTGAAGCATGTCGATGAAGGGAAGTTTTGCTGTTCTTCTTGGGTGACAGGTCTCTCTCTCTTTCTGCGTGTGAGTTTATGTGTATGTTTTTGTGTTTTGCACTTGGAAAACACGAAAAGAGCAATGGAAAGGAACAGCTGGTGTTATATTAGTGCATGATTTATTTTCTGGTTGAAGTATTATCCTTTTGCATGTTATAAGTCCATACCCAGTCTCAGCTGACCTCCACCATTGCTGAGTATAGTACAAGGTCCCTTTTGGACCTACCCACTATAAGTTGCATAAGAAGTATTCTTCTTTTTTGGCTTGAATTTTTTTTCATGTGTCACCACCTTGATTCTTATGTACTTCTTTAATTGTATTCTATTGCTTTTTGAATTATGTCTGCATTTTTGGCTTCCCAATTTTTGTGGAACCCTAAATACTATCTATAACAATTGAATTGCAAGATTTGTGCTGTGGTAACAAACAGTTAAACCTATAACTAGTTGTTCTTGGGTGAATAACTAAACCACAGATAAAACAATTCCTGTGAAATCTTAATCATGTGGTTTATGTCAATGCAAGCTGTGTAACTTTCCTCTTGCTTAACACCTCATTGATTTGTTGTTTTCTGGTACTGTGTAGGTAATATAGGTTTTTTTATCTATAGAAAAACTTAATACATGCAGATTTATTGTCAGAACTGGAAAAAGTGGATGGGGGAATTCGTGCCCATTCTCTTTCTGCGCATGAGGCAGGAATATCAAAAAAAATTGGAAGATCGAATACATGTAGATTATGTAGCCAATATGTTAAAAATGCGTCATCTGGTTTGATATGCTGCCCACAGAACAAGTTTTTTGACTGCCTAACAATTTTTAGTACAACCTCTCATCTAAAATCAAATCAATGGTTTATTTTCAAATGAACATAATATGAAAAAGTTGGGACTGAACGCTTGTAGTATCACATGCTTGAGCCCATCCAGTGGTTGGACCACTTGGCACTCAAACAAAGGCGTAAATTCCTGTAACTCCCCTTCACGGGAATGTTGGTTCATTCCTATTGTTAATGTACATAATGTTACTATTCATGTATTTGTTCCACATTGGTTAGATCAGGAAATTTCACTACTCTCTTGTATTATAAATAAACCTGCTCATGTATATGAAAGATTACACCAAAGCAATATACATTTGCTATTCGTTCTCTATTCTTTTCTTTCACACCTATGAAGAATGGTCAAACTGAATGATATTTGTTTATATCGTGATTGCAGGGGCCATATGTGCGGCTGCATGAATTGATTCCTTCAAGAATAGATATCAACGCCATTGCAATTCCTTCAGGTAGCATAAGGTGCCATTCTTTACGCGCCTCATCTGGGATATCTGTTTGACAAGAACTCATGTATAGAAAAGAATTCAAGCTGTCTCAGAGGTGTGGTTTGGATGATTTTAAGAGGCTCTATGTGAATAGTAAGTTGAAATTCAGCAAAAAGCTATAGATGTTGCAACTATATTACCATTGATGAAGATTCTGATTTCGGCCGTGTCTTCTTTCTCCATTCTGATGTCATTGATATGTTTTGGGGATTGAAGAGATTGTGTTTTATCGGTTATTGAAATAGGGAGAATTAAATTTATGTTGAAGCTACTTAAATATACTTACTGAAATATCAAATTTGATCATATCATCTAAGCCCAAGTCAATGCTTCAAATCCAATGAAAGGTTTTTCTCTTTTTTTTTTCCCACGGAACTCCAATCTCAATCTTTGTTTTAAAACAAATGATATAAATATAAAAAAAGTAATCCGTCTGGTGATTTTTTTTTTTTAAGTGGAATGGTTCATTATGATGAGAAGTGGTTAATTAGGAGAATTGTAATGCCACTAAAAGGTATATTATTCATCATGTTTCATTATTCATATTTTATGTCGTCAAACANGTTTTTAAGTGGAACGGTTCATTATGATGAGAAATGGTTAATTAGGAGAATTGTAATGCCACTAAAAGGTATATTATTCATCATGTTTCATTATTCATATTTTATGTCGTCAAACATGAAATATTGTAGATACAATATTTCATTATGAATCGTCAAAATCTTCCTTCCTACTTTTTTAACATGCATGCAGAAGGTTGTTTNTCATTATGAATCGTCAAAATCTTCCTACTTTTTTAACATGCAGAAGGTTGTTTCTTTATATGCTCAATTGAGCATGTTCAATACAACTCTGTAAGTAAAATTTTTGAATGGTTTTGAGAACTTTTTAGATCAAATTTAGGAGATAAAGATTTGAGAAAGTGATGGTATAATTGGTATTTTGCCAAGGTTAAAATTTAATCAGATAAATTAATTAATTCAAATTCAACCTCATTTTTTGGGTAGAGTTATAAACACGTAAATCAATTAAGTTATGACTCACGATAGTTGGTTAGTTCATAAGTCACACAATTATTTCAATGAGGTATCGTGCTGGGTAACTAAAACCCAACCAGAAGTGTCGGCGCAAATAATAATCTTTCAATACAAAACAAAACAAAAATCACAGACAGTGGGAATTAAGTAAGTGTTTACTGTAATTATTTGGTATCTAATTCAAGTTTAAAGACTGGGGGAAACGAAAAGACCATAGTCCAGTACTGTCCTGTGCTGTCCATCGTAAAGGGATAAAAGTGCAAAAAACACAAACAAATGAAAATATAAATAAATAAAGATGGGGCCCGCCCAACACGTCGCCATCAAATAAGCATTGGACACAAGAGAAGAGCTTCACACAGTTGCCCAGTAGCTGTTTTTTTCCTCCTTCTCCCTCTCAGCAACTCTAATAACCGGAGGAGGATCTTCGAGGTTACTGAGCCCATCTCTCTCTCTCACTCACACACACTCACGGATCTGCTATGTCGCTCTATATGTAGATTTTATGTATTTATTGATCTAGGGTTTTGGGGTAAGGTAGGATCTGGACGCTGATGGCTTCGAAGCGTATCTTGAAAGAGCTCAAGGATCTTCAGAAAGATCCTCCTACCTCGTGCAGCGCTGGTACGATCTGTCTCTGAAAGTATCGGCCTTTGTTTATGGTAGCTTTTTTTTTTTTGCTGGATTTGCATAGTCCGCCGTAGATTTTTTGCATGAACTTACCTTGCCAGAAATTTTGTATTTATTTACACATGACCGCTTGGGGGGGTACTCTGGCAACTCACCATAAATATCTTCTATTGTGATACATATACTGCAGTTGCAGTTGAGTTTGTAGCTTCATATACATGGTGTCATTTGCTATTTAGTACGCAANTTGCATGAACTTACCTTGCCAGAAATTTTGTATTTATTTACACATGACCGCTTGGGGGGGTACTCTGGCAACTCACCATAAATATCTTCTATTGTGATACATATACTGCAGTTGTAGTTGAGTTTGTAGCTTCATATACATGGTGTCATTTGCTATTTAGTACGCAAGCAGGTGAGGAAAAGGGGAATCAATAGAAGAAAAATACTGTATTACTTAATTGAGGGGGCCAAATTGAATGTGTTCTTGAGGGTTTCTGCTTAATAAGTTCTTGAAAACAGCATTAAGTTCAATGGACAAAATANTTTAGTACGCATGCAGGTGAGGAAAAGGGGAATCAATAGAAGAAAAATACTGTATTACTTAATTGAGGGGGCCAAATTGAATGTGTTCTTGAGGGGTTCAGCTTAATAAGTTCTTGAAAACAGCATTAAGTTCAATGGACAAAATAGCGCAAGTGTAGAATCTAAAGGGGGCCCAAGTCCCACGGCCCATATGTGTAGACTTGGTATCTTTGCAGGGAAAATAGTTAAATCATCTGATCATTGAGGACTGTAGGATGCACGATTGATATTCTACTGCACCTTTGTGCTTGATGGAGCATTCTTTGAAGTAATTTCTTTTCTCATATGTTGGGTTATCTATGCAAGAATACCTTGACATTCATAATATTAAAAACTTGAGACTAAGCATCTATTATAGAATGTTTGTGCTCATGTCCATCTAGCAATTGCTCCTTTGTTTTATCTCTGTTTTTGCGTGTACACTTTAGGACCAGTTGCTGAGGATATGTTTCACTGGCAAGCAACAATTATGGGTCCTCCTGACAGTCCCTACGCTGGTGGCGTGTTTCTTGTTACTATTCATTTCCCTCCAGATTATCCCTTTAAGCCACCTAAGGTACTCAATGTGCTGTGATTAATTCTAGGAGAATGTGGTATTGACATCCTCTTCCTAGCTAGATTAATGTCTTTTCTTTTTAAATTTTGGTTGGAACTATGGGGTAAACTATACACAATATTGGCAATAAGTTTGTCAATATATCTGAATCTCATCATCTTTATATTCGGTGCAGTATATTTCTGTATTTTTTCTAATTGGGTGGTTCGTTCAAAGAACTAACAGTTATATGTGTTATTATATCAATATGTTTGGGATCTGGGTATATATTTTTTGGTATGTGATCGTAAGATATTGATATGTCATTAATATGGTTAGAGTAAATGCATTTGGCCTTATTTATATTTGATCATTTGATGTTTGCAACCACTTTCTTGGAATGTTATTTTGATGAAACCGAGTAGAAGTCTAATGATTAAATTCACAAGTCATGTGCCTTTATGTTCCTTTGGTGTCCAAAACCTGGGGTGTTTAGATTTGTGGAATCATCAGGGCAAAGAAGTGGCCTCTTCCCCGGCTTTGTTGGGGACTGCATGAAAAAAATCTGCCAGCAGAGGGTTCCCAAGCAGCTATCTAATTACTAGAGCTGCAACCCTTTTATCTCTTGTCATAGTCTCAAAAGGACCATCCCGAATAGAACGGCAATAAAGGAGAAGTTGGATATGATATATATATATATATAGCTATCTATTCACGTGTTTAATAAATATAACCCTTCGTATACACTTACCAATCGTATTCTACGAATTCTATTAAAAAATCGGTAAAAAGATCTCACTTCTTTGCAAATCATTTTTTGAACAATGGAATCCGGAAAAGGGAAGGTTAAGTGCTAAAAAAATGGATTCTATATTGTTTCTTATTTTTATGTTGTTATCTCACCGAAAAGATTGAATACCGAATCCAATTTTTTCTTTTCTGGGAATCAAGCAGATTTGAATATGTAATATCATAATAATGGTAGAAATTGAATAAGTTTTGTTTGATATTCTATACAAATCCCATAACATAAGTGGTGAAATTCTATTTTTAGGAATGTTTTATCAATTCTNAATTGAATAAGTTTTGTTTTGATATTCTATACAAAATCCCATAACATAATAAGTCTAAGTGGCGGAATTCTGTTTCTAGGAATGTTTTATCAATTCCTTTTCCATTTTATCTATTGCAAATTCCAATTTTAGTAGAAAATTCTCTTTATTCCTCCATTCATACGTATTTCATACATTCAATTCCATATATGGAGTTGAGTAAAATTTCATTNCTTTTCCATTTTATCTATTGCAAATTCCAATTTTAGTAGAAAATTCTCTTTATTCCTTCATTCATACGTATTTCATACATTCAATTCCATATATGGAGTTGAGTAAAATTTCATTTGATTCAGTAAACAGAATATAAATTCCATCATTGCTAAATCATCTATATGATTCGATGAAGAATGAGGCAATACATGGGAAATTAAAAATGCTCCGGGATGGAAATGAGGAAATGTCTACAATACCTGGGTTTAATCAGATACAATTTAAAGGATTTTTTAGGTTCATTGATTAGGGTTTGACAGAAGAACATTATAAGTTTCTAAAAATTGAAGATATCGATCCAGAAATTGAATTTCAATTATTTGTGGAAATATACCAATTGGTCGAACCATTGATAAAAGAAAGAGATACTGTGTATGAATCACTCTCATATTCTTCTAAATTATATGTATCCGCGGGATTAATTTGGGCTTGATACTGCTATTAGGGGTAGGGAGGAAAAAGGTTCTTGTGTAGTGGCAAAAATAGCTGCGAGGCTAGATATGAGACCATGTTTTAGTCTTTGTTGTGATTCTTCTAATAAGAAAGAGGAGTTGCAGGTACTGCTAAATGTATTGATATTCAAGTAGAGAAAAATGTTGGAAAAGAGGAATGGACGTGGTGCACAAAAAGGTGGTGATGATCAATGAGTGGTAGTGAGTGACTTTCAGATGAGTGTGGTGACTATCTGCTGCAGGTCGTTAGGAGTGTTGTGGTTGGTGCTGCATGTGAAGGTGGTGGCTATTAGTAGAGGCTTATGGCTTTCTTTGGATGGTGATGACCTTTTATTGAAGAATTGGAGTTGTGGGTGCTGCTGTGGTTGCGACAAAGTAAATCCTAATGATAGGTGGTTGAAAGTGGTAGCGATTAATTTATTGTGAAAGTAGGATTTTAGACTGGTGGTTCCAACTGTTTAACTTTTCCGTTTCCCTTTTACACTTGACATTGGTCACTTCAGGAACCTAGGGTTTTCCTGTTTACAATTATATTCATGTGGGTATAGGTCGTGAAAGCTTCTAGGGTTGTGGTTTTGTAACGAGGAAGAAAAATTCTTTACTTTCAAAAGGGGTCAAATTGGCTTGATTCTGTACTGCACAGTCCCAAAAAAACTGATGAAAAAGACTTAGAAGATTCTCGGGACAACAAGCTTTATCTGTGTGTTTTGATGTTAATTAAATGCAAAGGGTACGGTAATGGGTTAGGATATGCTTGGCCTAGTTAGAGTTGGTAATGGTGACTTTTACATTTTGATTTTAACCCGTTCCACACATATTACTGTCTAGTTTTTGGTTTGGAAATTGAACTTCAGTTCTTTACATATTGTGTTGTGTGTGTATTATGGCACGTTTTTTGTACCTAGTCATGTTGGGAATACTAAGTTTTATTGCCGGACATTGAAACCTTGGAATGTTATTCTCATGTAGATACTGTGAGAATGGCCAGTCATTCTTATGTTCACAATTAAGTGCGNTCATGTTGGGAATACTAAGTTTTATTGCCGGACATTGAAACCTTGGAATGTTATTCTGATGTAGATACTGTGAGAATGGCCAGTCATTTCTTATGTTCACAATTAAGTGCAACCCTTATCCAGGTTAATCATTTTTGTTGATCTGTATAATATCTGGGTCAGGTGTAGTAGGTANCATTCTTATGTTCACAATTAAGTGCGACCCTTATCCAGGTTAATCATTTTTGTTGATCTGTATAATATCTGGGTCAGGTGTAGTAGGTATTATCTTAGTTTTACTTCTTTTTTTCCATTGTTGAATTTCTATCATTTAATATAGTTTGGATTGTTTTGACAGGTTGCTTTCAGAACTAAGGTTTTTCACCCTAATATTAACAGCAATGGGAGCATTTGCCTTGATATTCTGAAGGAGCAGTGGAGCCCTGCCCTTACTATATCCAAGGTGATTGTTCTATTTTGCAATGCGACTACTGTGAAATATTTCGTGCACCAAAATTTGATTTGGATGTTGAAATATAAATAGCCTGATTTTTAGCTTGCTTATTAATTTCCGTATTCATTGGAACTTGCTGTGGGTTGGGAATGTACACCAAGAAATCTTGTACTGGGAAGAATCACTATCGGGCTCAAGTTTTACACAAGAAGTTAACATTTGCAAGTGGTTGTTGATATACGAAAGAGTCAACTATGGGTTATATATAATATTACAGCTTTCAAAATATTTACATGTTCATGGATGGAGTCACTTGTTTTTCTTTTACTCTTTCTCTCTCTATTATGTGTGTTGTTGGGAAGAGTGGAGAAGAAAGGAGGAGGAGGGACTCCCCGCGCGCGGGGTGGGTGGGGGTTGAACTACTTTTTGAAAGACCTATTCTATCAATTTTTTAGTACTTTATGCTTGAAGTTTTATGAGATTAATGGCCTTTTAAGTTGTGTCTTTAAGTTCTGAAAATGATTGGGCCAAGGAAACGGGAAAGTTTTCTAGTTCGTCATGTAAATCCTTACCAACTGACAAACTTTTCCAATATCTTAGACGGGACAACTTACTAGGTTTATTTTTTGCCTGGTTCATTTCTAGGTGTTGCTCTCTATCTGTTCTCTGTTAACGGACCCAAATCCTGATGATCCTTTGGTGCCTGAGATTGCTCATATGTACAAGACAGACAAGAGCAAGTATGAGACAACTGCACGGAGCTGGACTCAGAAGTATGCCATGGGTTAGTTTGCTGGCATGTGTGGGAGGATGGTTCCCTTTCCTTGTGACTTTGATCTTCTATTTATATGTAATGAATAGATGGAAAAGTGTGATCCGTCCCAGTACGAAACGGGCCAAAAGAAAAGGTTCGGTTCATGCCTCCTTAAAACATAACTTTTCCTTGTGATTTATATGGGGAATTGGCGTTTGAAACTATGAAGTGTGCTTTTGGATGTTCAACGTACTTTTAACCTTTGGTTTCCACTGATATGGTATTTTAGTTGCATGACCTCAAATGCTATAAATTTAATACCAAGGGGGTAGACAAACACACGGTACTACTTCCAAATCCAAAATACGTTCTTGTTGGAGAATTTGGTTTTACGACTAGTAAAGAGGTGATTGCATGTATTTGGAATTAATACTATAGCCAGGACTTCGAAGAATTTGTGGTTTGGATAGTTTTTCCTTAATATATAGCAGATCGCTTCAACTCAATTCCAGTGCCAGTGGGTGCTTCTGTGTCACGAACACCGGGCAATGGCTTTGTTTTCCCGTCCTTGTTTGAAATGCAAGCCAGAGTGGAGTCTGTGTTATTAAGATCGTTTAATGCCAGGAAATTTAACTGAGCGGAGTTTTTGGCAAAGTTACGGATGTCTTTCTGGATCGTTTTCATCTCCCTGATGGCTTGGAATGACCAGTGGTGAGAGAATCCATTAGAACTTTTTTTGCGTTTTAACCAAATCGTTTCATTTTATAATTTTCTCTTCTTTGTACCATTATTTCTAACCTTTTTTTTTTTTATATAATTAAAGAAAGAGATGAGAACAAAGAAAAGCGTCCAGCGATTATCTCTCGAAAACGAATCTAGTTAGAGGTTCGAGTTTTGGTGTTCACGTTAAGGTTGACCGTTATATTTAATCGAGAAGTTAGGCCGGTATTTCACTAGACCACCGGTTATTTCTAACTTATTTCCACCTAACTGTAGCTTTATTTAGGAAAACTGTGGTAAATTTAGAAATACGTTTGAAAGTAGTGATAGTTCGGAAATTGGATTTTTGTGTTTTTTTATGATTCGGGCAAGATGGGCCTCATATTTTTTGGCCCATCAACTCTCCAAAACTGAACACGTTAACATGGCAAAATCTGGCCATGTTCAAGCCTCTCCGGCCGTATTCACCCATAACAGGCCTTGTGATTGACTGAGATAGGGTTGCAGCTTTCTGCTTTCAGGTGCATAGCAAAAGTTAATGTTAGTATTTGTAATATCACCTCATCATCATTCACCAAGTAAATTTTTTCTTTAGGTTTTATTTGTTGGGGAGTGTTCAGCAGATGGTGTCACAAGCAATTAAGAGAGAAGAGGAGAGAGAGAGAGAGTTGAGGGCCTTGAGGCCGTGAAAGTTGAGACATGGGTGGAAGACTAAAGAAAAAGTTATAACTAACCGAGACTATTATAATCAAGCACAACATTTCATGATTAATCACAATATTTGTGATCGATCGATCATAAATAGTTATAACTTACTCTTTACATAATGTAATTTATTCTTTAAAATAGTTATAAGGTACAAAGGGTATCCAATAAAATATATTATAGGTAATCTTTCCTCAAGCAAAAAGCTTAAGAGAGCTTGACTCTGTGTAAAGTTTTATGACGTGATTCCATTCTCTGCACCAAATGCCAATTCCGTGAAAACAAGTGCAGATTTGGACCACTATTAATTAGGTCTGCTCTTTTATTTTGAAAAGTGACCCCCAACCCAATTCCATGGTGTAATAAAAGAGCATGAGTTTCCCACTACAGCTACATGTCCTCACTACAATCTGTCTTTACTCTGTAGATATTGCTTTAATAACATTAGCTTTTCCTCTTTTGGGGTAGTGAAAAGGCACCTAATGCAGTTCAAAGTCAAAACCCTAATGTGGGTAACTGTCTGTCAAAGGGAAAATCTAACTAGCTAGTAGACTAATCAAAAGCAGTTGTTGCCAGTTCTTGGTCAATTACATACACTTGGGTTCCTCCTCCTCCTTGCCTATGGGACCGTAATAAACTCTAGTTTGTAACGGGTGAATAACTGCTTATATTTCTCAGTTAGGTTAGCATATAGTATTAAAAAATAATATCTTAGTCCTATGCATCTCTTTTTTTTTTCACTCACATTCATTGTATTAACAATTGATGAAAACAAATAACTCAAGATCCACAACTCAAAATTATATATCCGTATGATCATACTTTAAGATTCTAATCAACTTCAATCCTGATTAATAAGAGTCATGTCTTGCAAAACAAACACGGCCTTACAAGAAAGAAAGTTCATGTTCTTATATATTGAATGAAACCAACATGGCAACTTAGTGCTTGTTCAATACAATTCATGCCCGGATAACAAGGAGTCCAGAAACATTGAGCCATACCTTGAATTGAATCTACTTACTTTGAATAATCAATACAAGGGTTTAGTTTCCCATAAAAAGCAAATAAAGCTTAGCTGTACCTTCTTTTTTTATTATATAGATTTTGTACGGAACACTATGGTCCATGTCTTGCAATGTCGAGCAACATGGCATTTGGATTACTTTCTATACTTGGGGTTATTTTTTAAACAGTTTCAAAGAATCTTATAAACTGATATATATATATATATACTTTAATGTAATAACAGTACGTGTGAACCATATCGCGGAAAATAAATTATAATTTAGACCCGGCAAACGAGTCGTGCACACTAGTGGGGTGAATATGGCCCCCTGGAGTTTGTCATTACTGAAGTCTGAAGACAAGTTTGAAAATCACAGCTTGATTTCCACTCAAACACCTCAGTCATGAATCATTCTATACCTAAAGTTTAGCATTTCACCAATCATTTATTTTAGACAAAATTTTAGTCATACATTTCCTACTTTATTATATCTTTAAGAATAATCTTTAATCAAGTTACTGGTCTTAATTAAAATACAATTTTAATAAATTGTCCATGATATATTTTAGAAAAAAAACTCCATCAACACCTATTTTAGATAGACATATCTTCAATGAGACCCCTCTGTTTTATGAATTTTTTTACGTATTAAAATTCGGGTCGATTAAAATTCATTTTATTCGGCCTGAATTTAATCGACCCGAATTTTAATACGTAAAAAAAATTAATTTTTAATAGACTAAAATTTTAATACATAAAAAATAAATTTTGATGTACTTGAATTGAATTTTAATAAGTAAAAAAATATAAATTGTAATTGACTTGAATCAAATTTTAATCGGTGCTAATAGCTCAAATCGACTTAAAATTTAATGCATAATAAAATAAATTTTAATTAGTTTGAATTTTAATATCTAAAAAAATAAATTTTAATAGGTTCGAATTTTATATAGAAAGATTATTTAGGGATTATGTATGAGAAATTTTGATATTTTAGTTGAATTTTTTTTGTTATAAATGGTGATTTAACGACACGGGTTTCAGTGATGTTTAACTATAAACTAGAATGGTGACAGTAATATTTTAAATAATAGAGAGGTGTCCTTGAAGATATAATAAACAAGAAGGGTGTGACTGAAATTTTTTCTTTCCTTTATAATACTTTCTAAACATAAACTAATCCTTCGCCTTTTGGGAGACCTTATCGGGGTGATAGGATGGCATTTTAATTTTTTTTCCTTGCTTCAGTCGGGATCTGAATCATTTCTAGTGTAATTCATCGCAATGATACATAGAATGCATCGTTTATTGGCGAAAAGATCGACTCATATATAATGAATTTCATTTAAATTTTGTGCAAATGATTTTTACCC